TCAAGAAAGGGACCATAATTATACTATTTGTCATATCTGGGCTTCCAGTAATGTCGCGTTTCCGGACTCATTCGAGACAAAACACGTTCCGAATATTTAATGTTTCCTGACCGCGTTCGGAGTTATTGCGCCCAAGAAAGGTCGCATATGATGAAAATATTCGGAAACAAGAATCGGTTTTTTTTTACTATTTCCCATATCCGGGTTTTCGGTAACGCAACGTTTTCGGATTAATTTCACTCAAAACACGTTCCTAATATTTCATGTTTTCTTAGCTCACTTGAGGCTTTTATGTTCCGGAAATAGTCCAAATACTTAAGGTATTCGGAAACACTACTCATATTTGGATTTCCGGTAATGGAACATCTTTGGACTCTTTTTTTTCACAAAATGACACAAGAAAGGCAGAAGGTTTAGAGGAACAGAGCTTGTTAAAAAACGATCAGACATGATCGATCATAATCAAACACGAAACAACGAGTTATCAGTTCTATCTACACTTATACACTTATTAAGTTATAACCCTACACTCTAATCTACACTTAACACTCTTAAAAAACAACCTCACCTAGACTTTAACTTTACATTCTAAAAACGCTAGCCCTATCTTCGTTCTCTATTACTTATAAATTAACTTTACATGCTAAGCTTACTAAAAAGTCACTAAACTAAACTATAAAAACAGTACTAATTACTTTACTAATTAATCCTATCCTACACTTATCCTATCCTACACGTATCCTATTCATCCCTTCCCTGGTCCTCCCTGGCCGGATCCCAGGTGTAGTCCTGGGCAGCCCGCCCTGCTGGAGGCTGCCTGTCGGTGAAGTCTCCGGATTTAGACTTCCTCTCCTTGCTGGAGAATGGGAGGCGTCGGTCCTTACGGTTCTGGTAAAGTTGGAAGTTAGAACAGTTTTTACCCGCGGATAGAGATGCAGTCCTGCGAAGAAACCTCCAACCGATGAAGCACGATAAAGTTGGAAGTTAGAACAGTTTCTATCCGCGGATAGAGATGCGGTCCTGCGGCGACGAAACCTCCAACCGATGAAGCACGATAAAGTTGGAAGTTAGAACAGTTTCTATCCGCGGATAGAGATGCAGTCCTGCGGCGAAACCTCCAACCGATGAAGCACGATAAAGTTGGAAGTTAGAACAGTTTCTATCCGCGGATAGAGATGCGGTCCTGCGTCGACGAAACCTCCAACCGATGAAGCACGATAGTTGGAAGTTAGGGAGTTATTGAACTTTACGGCCTAAACTTACTGATTTTCGTTCCGACAAAAACTGTAATTTATCGAACCTACTTTTCGATGTTTTCGACGTCGAAAAATCCCGACGTACAACGACGGACTTTTTTCGATGTTTTCGATGTGTGTTTCGATGTATGTTTCGTCGATGTTTGCATCGGCAGTTTCGACGTTTCGTTGCGTGCAACGACAATTTTCGACGTCCAATGTTTTCGATGTCGTCTGGAGACCTAATTAGTACCCGACGTAGATATGCAAATAAACCACGCCTCCACTGGTATGCCACGCCTCCCACACTCAGTAGTTGTCACCACTCAATTGCGCCCCCTACCTTCCCTGGGCGGGAGCGCTTCTTGTGGACTGAGAGGGGGTTTCGTTTTTGTTGGTGTTATGTTTGTTCTGTTCTTTTACAGATGACAGATAACCATTTGAGTTATATTCGGCGTTTTGGCGTTTTGGGACAATTGGTAGTTAACACGGATAACTTAAATAGCGAAGGCGTAAAAAGGGGGTGGGGGCTATCTATATCTAAGAATGGCTATCCTTAAAGTATTGCACAAGGGCGGGGAAAACAACAGCATTGATAATCGGCGAACAGATTAAAGCCTTTTCTGTCAACATCAACCAATCAAACAGCCTATATTAAAGGAAGACACAGAAGATACGCTCAATTTGCACTGGGATATCATGACATACACAGAAACAGAGTATTTTTCAGTAATACTTTTAGTATTTTGACTACGTTGAATAAAAATTCTTAATCAAGATACTAGAGAAAGGAAGAGGCCCTAACAAACTTTACGGAAATTTTATTAGATGTAGCAAATTAGTCCCTAAGGATAAAGCGTACAGGTAAAGGACAAAACAAGAAAACAACACAAGTAAAAAGAGCAAAGGGTGGTTCGACCAACATTGTTGGTCTTTACGTCAGCG